CAAATGAATGAAGAAATTATCTCTTTGCCAAGGCACCAATTGGCTATTATCCTACTATACCATAATTTGGAGCAAGTCAACTGGCTTCTTCTACCAAATGAGCCTCCTGCCTTATCTTTTCGGTCGATTTGTCTATCTTTGACATCCCGGCAAGATATCCCTCAAGCATTGGCGGCTATCTCTCTCTCTGATTCGCAGGATCCCAACTAGTATACCGATACTGGTGCGTCTGCTCATATGACAGCCGATGCACATAATCTCGAAAGTCTTATTCCTTACTTTGGATTCAATAAGATATATGTTGGTGTGCTTCTTTGACTCCAAGTTCAGGAAATTATGAATTAAAGGATGTTTGTTTGTTCTTGATATAAACCTAATATCTTTTAGTAAACTTATGAGAAAAATTCTTGCATCTTTGAGTTCTCACTGGATAAATTCTGGATCAAGGATCCGGAGGACAGGATGGATTCTAGCAATCGGAAGTAGGATGGGCGGTTTGTATGCCCTAGACAAAGGTGAACAAGTGCTAGTTGCGTTGAAGTTCGGAAAGGCATCAGAAGGAGTTTGGCTTGCAATTTAAATCTAAGGATGTTATTGACATAGATATATGAATAAAAAGCCCTCTTTGAACTTGAGGGAAAGACCATTTATACCAATACTGAAAATAATTTTCTCAAATAATGGATATACTCTAAGCATTCCATTAGTTATGTATCAACGTTCCAACAAAAATACTTGTATACATCAAAAACCCCAGGTTCAGCGGGGTAAATGTATTAAAAATGGACAAATTTTAGTAGATGGTGCTACTACGATTGACGGCGAACTTGCTTTTTCCTATCACGGAGCAGCAAAATATCCTCCAGCTACTAGTTTACGTCAAAATCATCCCCCAACTACTAATTATATAAAAAATTGTCCTCAAACTGTTTTCTAGCATCAAACTCATCCTCCAACTACTAATTCACACTAAAATCACCCTTTAACTATTGTTATGTTGTGCTAATCATCCAACTATTAAATAAGATCAAAATCATCCACCAACCATTATCTAGCATCAACATCATCCTCAAACTATTGACTTATGTCAAAATAATCCTCTAACTATTAACTTAAGTCAAAATATCCTCCAACTATTCTCTAGCATCAAACTCATCCTCCAACTACGAATTTACGGCAAAATCATCCACCAACTATTCTCTAGCATCAACATCGTCCTCAAACTATTAACTTGAGTCAAAATCATCCACTGGCTATTAACTTGTAACAAAATAATCCTCCAACTATTAACTTATGTTAAATTAATGCTACAACTTTTACCTAGCAACAAAATCGTCCTTCAACTATTATCTAGCACCAAAATCGTCCTACAGCTATTATCTAGCATCAAAATTATCCTCCAACTATTTTTAGTTTCGAAATCATCCTCCAACTATTAACTTATGTCGAAATAATCCCCAAACTATTAGCTAGCATCAAAATCGTCCTAAAACTATCAACTTATTTCAAAATTATCTTCCAATTATTATCTAACCTTAAAATCATCCTCCAACTATTGACTTTCATCAAATTTGACCTCCAGTTAATAGCTAGCATCAAAATCATCCTCCATCTATTGACTTTCTTCAAAATCATCCTACAGCTATTGTCTAGTATCAAAATCATCCTCCAACAATTGTTTACATCAAAATCATCCTCCAACTAATTAACATCAAAATTATCCTAACAAAATCATCCTCCAACTATTAATCGATATCAAAATCATCCTCCAACTATTAATGGACATCAAAATCATCCTCCAACTATTAATTGACTTCAAAATCATCCTCCAACTATCTACTAGAGTCAAAATCGTCCATAATTTATATGTGTGTATACATACAGTTCAAATATCTTTATTTCAACGGCGATTATTGAAATATTCAATTGTCCTACTTAAACTTCCAAACTTTGCTCGGAGCTATTTAGAAAATTTCGAAATCGAAACGCCACTCAGTTCCATAAAACCACCGCCACCGGAAATCACGTATTAAAGTTTATATATGGAAAGCGAATATAAGAAACACGAGAGCTATGTTGTAGTGCACAACGTGGGGATAATGGCACAGCCTTCGTGGCGTCGGAGCTGATTCTCGCCGGCCGCCGCGACTTCAACGCCTGCGGCGGCCACGGATCCATTTCTCACTTACGCTTTTGTCCCTTTCACTCCCTGTCCCTTGCGCTCTCCTTCTTGAAGGTGCCCCTATCCCCCCACTCCGCCTTTTTTTGTATGTGCGGGAGAGTATATATGTGATTGTTGCTCTTTAGAGAAAGACTCATACTTTTTGACTTTATTTAAGTACATATACATTTGCACAATGTTTTTATCCCTTCAATATATTATCAATTGGACCTGCGAGTTATTGACTTTGAGATGGTAACTAGAATGAACAAGTGAATTCTTGGGTTGTAAAGAATGTTTCCTTGTTGATAATCATAATAAACATTTTCTGAGTTTCATTTTGTTACAGTTTGAGGATGCATTATGACAGGATACCGATTTTGCTAATATGCTTCGCAAGTTAATAGTTTTAAACTTTAGGGTGTATAGAACTCAATCGATACTGAAGGCAGACTTCATGAATTTTCAATAGTTTTGAATGCACTGTGAAAAGTTTAGAATCAAAACAATGTTGCAGGATCAAGGGTGGATCATAAAGGTATACGGGTTTAATGTTAATTCTTTGCGGAAAAAATAGTGACGCTGTAATTTTACTTTACAGAATGGATAGGGAATGGCAATCTTGTGAGTTTTTGCTCTGAATTTATGTTTTCCAAGTTGTGCAATGTATGCATTGATTAGGAAAGGGACTGATGATATATGTGGTGTGGAGATAACAGAGAATGTTGTGGCAGTGAATGAAAATACTTTCAGGAAGAGCATTGCTTTCCTTCTTGGCAATGAGGTAGATACAGGATAATGATTATGATTTTCCAAATTTTAAATTGATTTTTTTGTTTGTGATCAAGTGAGGGCAGAAAATTGCATTACTTGTATACAAGCTCTCTTAGTCTTGTAATATAAATGGAAAATTTCAGCTGCAATAGACCTTATTAATGTATCCTTATAAGCATTCAAATATTATGTGTTATAATAAATCCAATAATGAAAGCACTTTTGTGAGTTTTGAACTGGTATTGTATGATGGTATGGTATGTTTAAGAGCTGATGTAAAAGTTTAAGTTGCTAGATAGGGTCACATGTAGATGGGATTTGTTTTCTCCAATCTAATTCTAATAGATGGATAATTTATTTATATGGGCAAGGGTTTGATATGAATTCAGTTTGTTTATTATGATACCGTATTGAACCACTTTATTTAAAAGCTTAAGTAATTATTAGATATGACCACATACATGTTATTTAATCATTGTCTTCTACAAGAACAATCAAGAAGAATCAAGCCCTACATCCGTCAACTTCTCGTAAAAGTTTGAGCAATTAGACTTTGGGTCCGTTCTAGTATATTAGTCATTCCATCGTTGATTCTATTCGGCACGTGACAAAACTAAAGCTCTGTTATCCTGAAAAATCTCCCCTAATGGGTGGTCTTGCCAAATCTGTCTGCAAGTCCCTCTTATATGGTGAATTTTTCTATTCCAACCAAATCCAACACTATTCAGTTGAACAAGAGCTTGAACATGCCAACAAACTCTGGCAGATGCAACTGAACCGACGAGGAGAAGTGAATAACAATGAACTTTAAAAAGGAAAAAAATAAAGCGTTCATTAACAAATCCTGATAAATATGTTCAAACACCAAGAACGGTACACAGCAAATGACTGAAGACTGATTACAGATCAACAACCGTGGCTCTATTGCCAATTTTTTGGGCGTAAATAAAGAGAATGACACTCATTCTATAAGCAATGAACCCACTTAATTTAAAAGCTTAAGCCATTAGGTCTTGGACCCATCCTAGTATGACAGTTCTTCATACTTTAAGCATCTATTTCATCTTAGACAACTTTAAGACATCCACTTTCAAACATATTGCTTTTTTTTTTTTTCTTTTTTTTCTGTGGGGAAATATTTTTTGCTTGATGTTGCTAATTTTCAATTGATTTCTTCATATAAGTTACATAATGTATTATTTCTCTTCGACATTAGTATTATTTATCTTCCTCATAGAGCTATTGATATTCAAATTGCAGATATATTCACCAACGCAATGACCAGACAATGCCATATATTTCTAGTGAGTAAATTGATGACTAAGAAGCATCGATATGTGGGGGATGTCAATTGGATATGTGCATATTGAGGAAGCTGATTTACAGCAAGCAATTTGGAGAATATACCTTGTATAGTAGCGGAAGATATTCTTTTAATTGGTAGGAGTTTATTGACTTTCCTTACATGTATAGCGATAGATCCTATTTATACGAAGGAACTCTCACTATGAGAGTAATCAAAAAGAGAACACTTTGTCATTAGTAAGATGTTATCTAATTTAGTTGCGTAGTGAAATTTAGTTGAGATGCTGTGGTTTGCACTGGAAGAGTCAATTGATATATTAGAGTTGAGACAGATCCATAACAAAATCATGAGTACGCATAAATTCCTGTTAAAATCCTTACATAGACCTTAACAAGAGCTTGTGATTTGGTCAAATAGATATGAAGGGGATAGTATGGTTGTCTATTTAATTGACTTGATACTGTTGCTGGTTTGGCAATCAATTTGATCAGCTACTAATTTTCTATCCCTAATCTAAAGAAAGATCATTATACAACTATTTTTTATTTATCATGCTTGAAGTACTCGCACTTTTAGAGTATAATATGGCGACATTCTAGAAACAATTTCTTAGGAGTAAAACCTTTCATGGAATTGTGAGATTCAGCCAACTAATGATATTTGTCCATGTAACAGTGTCAGTGGTTTAACATAGAAACATGAAGATTAAGGCAATAATGTAAATGACAGGTTTCCACAGATGAATAGTGGCTTGCTTTATAACATCCTTTTTCCTGAAGTATGGCATATCATTTATCTATTTTTGTGTAGTTGATATTTTGTTCAAAATTTACTTCAGTTTGGGCAGGCTTCTCCTAGAGGACCAACAAGCTTCTTGTGGCTGAAATAACTGTTAATCAGATGATGAGAAATTACTGGACAGAAACAGCAGCATCTGTTGTTGAAGAGCGAAAATTGAAAAAGGAAAATGCTTCAAATGGGTTTTTTGATGAGGGTGGAAAAGATGAAGCTGCTCCTACTAATCTTTTGGATGCGTTGTTCGATTCATAGTGAAGAGAAATTAGGAATTTACTTAGTTTGGTACGTAACTTCTACAACAATGTGAATTTTTCGTCAACACTTTGCTGCTATGATAAATCGGTAGAAACAAGAACACACAAATGGGTGTATGTACATATCATATTTTATCGAACGGTTGGTAAATATGTTAATGTTTGTGGTGTTACACGTTTATTTTGTTAGCGAAATAACTATATTTTGAATAATCTGAATTTGTTCCTTGTCTTTTCCTATTAATTTTAGTTTTCTTGTCATTGAAGGAATCAAAGTAGCTAAACAATTTACCAGTCACTGGAATTAGGTATGCATGAAGATGATGCTTGATTGCCGGATTAGATTAATACTTTTTAGTAGGTAAGCATCATTTGACCTTTTGTTTGATGCGTCTCTCTATGTTGACCTTTGTTGTAGGAAGCTCCCAATCATCTGTTCATGATATTATTTTAGCATTGAACAGTTGAGACAATATTTCTGATTTTTCGTCTAATCAATGTCTCGTCATTGTGTCATTTGATGATATGCTTTTTAATTAACCGTGTAGTTAAAATTCCCGTCTGATCGGTTTCATTGAAAAGAATCAAGAACCTAGTTTGGATAGAGCACTCTAAGAGACTCTATTTTTAAAGAGTATATTTTATCATTTGGAGAATATCTATAAATTTAGAGAGTTTAAATTTTGAAGCACTCCAACGTATTTTTTATATTTAACACTTAATTTTACAACCCTAAAAAAATATTTATAATTTTTCTCTATTTTTAATTGTAGGAAAATGATATATGTACAGCACCAAGCGTGTACATATATACAGCCTTCTTACAAAATGTTGGCACCGTGGTTATTTTAATCGTGGATCCCACTCCACTCTTACATGTGAGAGGGCAATCAAGAATGCTATGCTTGTAGCACTTGAAAATTGAAACATTTTGACTGTATTTAATTATAGAGAATGAGTTTGATTCTCCAAATTAAAATGTTAATTTAAAAAGTCTTGGAATATGATTTTAAGAGTTGGCTCTTTAAAATAGAAAACATTTCATGTTTAAAGAGTCTCTTGAAAATTATTTTGCAACTTTAAACAATAATGCTTGGTGTACAATCATGAATGACAATTTTGTTGACAATATGTCATATGACAAGCTGTCACTGTATAATTTAAAGGATAAAACCCTCTGTCCCGACTTGGGGACAGGGTTGAAGACAGGTGGCGCCCCCCTATTGGCAATAGGGGACGCCACAAGCCGAGACAGGGAGTACGCTTCTAGTTTGAAAAACAATTTGTTTCTGCTATCAACAACTTTTTGACAACTCATGCATTGTCAACCATGATTGTCATCAATGGTTGTAAAAATAGATTAATCCACTTTGAAAATATTTTTTTGAATTGATGTCTGGGTCGAAGTTTGAAATATTGTTGATTAGTCGAGATTATCAAGTCGAGATTATCTATCTCTTTTGCTGAATTTTTAGAGGATTGGTAGCATATTGAAACCAAAAAATACAAGATTCCTTGAGTCTATTTAGCAAAATCTTCAATGGCCAAGGATCGACCATTTGTGACGTCTGCAACCAGTCTAATTATTGATATATAAGACAAAAATCAATTATCCTACACAAAACACCATTATACTTTGCTGAAATTAGTACTATATTACCGTGTGTGTGTTTTTCTTTGGGGATGGGCCCTTTTCATTTCATTTTTAAAAATTTCCGAGTATATGAACCGAAAGTAATGAAAAGAACTGTTGGAACCCGAGGCCTATGGCATGGACAGAGAGAAAAATTCGAGTCTGGCTAGGTAGGGGTGGCCCTCTTTATATGGCTACACCTCCGGCCGGGGTTAAAGCTTAACAATTCTATTTCTCCATTGGGTGGATACCGTTTTTTAAATCCCTTTACACTCTGGATCCAGTCAAAGGAATAATGTTTTGCATGAACATTTCACAGTTTCGTACATAGTCAGCCTTTTCTTCATTTAATTTATGGGGTTCCAGTATTCCATTCTGATGGATACACAAATTTACGAGGACATTTATATTATTATAGTGTCAGCGACTCCTTGAAAACTTGCTTCTTTCCCTGGTTTTATATTCTGGATTCCATTAGAGAGGTGTCAAAATGTACCGGCCACGACCAAGCAAGGCTCATTGACTTGCTGTGTTGTAGACTGCCCGCCCCTAGAGCCTGAAGTGTAGGGCGGTCATATTGACACCTATAATTCCATTACGGGTGACGAAAAGTCCTGGTTTCATAGGTGGGAGTTGGTGTATTAGGTTGTCATGGTGATCAATAATGCTCTTCATAGTCAATGTCGACCTCAGTCTTTGGAGCAGTTGGGATGTTTTCTTTGTCTATATATCATATTGTCAACATTTTTGTAAAGCTCGTGTCTTTATATATTATTTCAGTGACCAGCAGAAAAATGGATCACTCATTTTTATTGGAATTTTAGAAGCCAATCATGCCATCAAAAGAGCATTTACAACTTTCATGCACCAAACAGATGTTGTGCGTTCTCAGCCGGAGATTTCGACGCCTTTGCTCGAAGATACAGCGTCTGATATGGCGTCGTCCGAGGCCTAAACTTGTAATCAGAAGGCTTGGTAATCTGAATTCTAAAAGACAGACTAGAAAAAAATCCTACATAAAATCAGCAACCCAAAAAAATATTCGCCAAGTGAGTGGCACCTCTTTACAGAGGCCTATTCGACTTGCTTCTTTCAATGCGGCCTTATTCTCCCTCGCACCTGCTACTCCTAAGGTTGAGAAATCAGTTGTTTTCTTTCATGAAGAGGAGGATTATTCGAAATTTGGGAATCCTTTGAAGCCTGCGAATGGTCATCCCAAGGGCATACTCAAACAATCTCCACTTCACCCCATGACTGATGGTTCTGAAAGTGAGAACAAACTCACTAAATCAAGACCAAAAGTTTCGATAAATCTTCCTGAAAATGAGATATCATTAGCACAGAATAAGGTTCTTAATGTTAATGAAGATTCATCGACAAATTTTAGTTTCAACAACAATATCCTGGCTCACATGAGGTCTCCCATATGCTTCCCTGTGGCAAACTGGATCAACGACACGAGTTTGAATGGAAGTCGAACCATATTTGATGTGCTCAAAGAAGTCGATGCTGATATATTGGCTTTACAAGATGTGAAGGCTGAGGAAGAAAAAGATATGAAGCCGTTATCCGACCTGGCTCGTGCCTTGGGGATGAATTATGTGTTTGCTGAGAGCTGGGCTCCTGAGTATGGCAATGCTGTTCTTTCAAAATGGCCTATTAAGAAATGGAAGGTTCAAAAAATCTGCGATGATAAAGATTTCAGGTGAATTTTAACATTTTCTCCAGTACTCTTGGGAGGTTTAAAACTCTCTTTTTATTATGTTTCGCTTATCGCATTCAAACTAGCACGGTTTTTAGAAATCATATGTAACCTAAGGCTCCAGCTTATACGTGTTATGTGCCCGCTTGCAATTACTGATACAAGAAGTCGTCATTTCTTTAATTCATCCTCAATCGATGCCAACTCCTTTCATTAGCTCAAATTCTCGATTTTTATCTTATCCATTTTAGTACGACTGCATGTTCATCTGAGCAATCTTCATTTCCAATTCATTCATCTTATAGACCTCCTGACCTTAAAAGCACGGTTCTCAGATTCTGAAACATGTTATTTACTGATCCTGTGTTCAATAGCCCATCCCTTTTGATGTCGTGGTTTAAATTTCAATTATTGATCTGTGATGTGGCATCAATTGATTTGCCATCTTAAATGTACATCTAAGATGACAATTAAGACGGTAAATCAATTAAAGCCATCTAAATGCCACATCACTGCTTATGGGTGAGCAGTGATGACGAAATTTTGTTCTTTCATGCAGGAATGTGATTAAAGCCACAATTGATGTGCCGTGGACGGGGGAACTAAACTTCTACTGCACCCAACTCGATCACTTAGACGAAAACTGGAGGATGAAACAGATTAATGCAATAATCCAATCAAATGATCATCCCCATATTTTAGCAGGAGGCATCAACTCTCTTGATGCGTCAGATTATTCCTTAGAGAGGTGGATGCACATTGTGAAGGTAAATCATTTGAATTTATCTTCTTCCACCATCTGATTTCATGAAGTAATTCAGCAAGTAAAGTTAATAATCTTTCATGTTATCATCCGAACAGTACTACGAGGATCTAGGAAAGCCAACGCCAAGAACTGAAGTGACGAAGCTCTTGAAGGAAAAAGAGTATACCGATGCTAAAGATTTTCCAGGGGAATGTGAACCAGTGGTTATGATCGCCAAAGGCCAAGGTACAAGACTTCTTGTGTTTTGTTTGGTATGCAATACTAAACCATATTGGACAGTACAATAAATAAGATTTATATTTTTCATCATATTGTTCAATGTTGTCTAATTCACCTTACCAAGCATAGCATGATCTAATCTTGTCTTTAAATTTGAGTTGGACAAACTCCTTATGAATCCTAGTAATGTATTTTGTTTCTCGGATTTAGATGTACAGGGGACATGCAAGTATGGAACTCGAGTTGATTACATTTTGGGTTCACCGGGCCTACCATACAAGTTTGTTCCTGGATCCTACTCTGTGATTTCATCGAAAGGCACTTCTGATCATCACATAGTAAAAGCAGATGTAGTGAGAGTAGTTGACAATACTCGAAAAATTAAAAGGGGATGGAAAAAGCTAAATCAAAGAGTCAAAAAAATTAGAAATTCTTGTTCTACAAGAGGTATTTGGGGATTAAACTCCTGAAGTGTATGTGTGTGTGTGTGTATATTTTACATAGAAAATTGTATACCTTGACTTGTTTACAGTATTGAGGAGTGGATTGCATTATTGCAAGTTTCAATTTTCAATGTGGAAGTTACGTACACATGTTTCATTGGTTCCAACTGTATTAGCTGTAAAGGTTAGCTATTTTCGTTATTACTTTTCGAGTCATTTGGACTATAAGTGTAGAATTTACTAATAGCATTAGTTGTCAATTATAAGAAGTTATTTTCTACTTTTGTTCTCTCCTAATTTTTTGTAGAAAAACACTACAAAAAAAATTCTTACTCCTTCACATGGCCTAAAAAATCTTTATACAGTAGGACATCAGATTCTATACCTAATAAAAAATTGAGGAAATTACAAAAAATGTCCATTTTGACATAGTCATTTGCAAAAATATCCCAAAATTTTCAATGTCCATTTTTGCAATTATTTGGACGAGGGTACCTCTAAGTAACTTCCATACGTTAAAATGTGAAACGTCGAGAACGATATTTGAATCCGTTTACATTTCAAAAGTACACATGTTAAATCACAATAATTAAATGTTCTCGTCATTTCAAACGTTGTTATCAACATATTAAATGTCTAGAATGATATTTTATTTTGAAAATGACATTTCTCTACACTTTAAATGTTGTTCTCGACATTTCTGTGTCTAACATTAATTGTAATTTGACATGTGCAATATACAATTATTTATTCTTTTCATTAAGAGTAAAATAGAGAATTTGGTATTATATTTGGCCATTTTTGCTAACATTATCAAAAGTGGACATTTTTCAAGTGACATGTAAAATTGGACTTTTTTGCAAATGCCCCTAAAAATTTATCAATAAGGTTCATCAGAGCTTGACAAATAGGTGAATTAACATGGTTAAATTTCCAAGTCAATAAGGTTCTAATAAAAAATGGTGGTCGATGTCATGACCAAAAATAACTTCCAATAAACGATTGATCTATTTTCGGCTTCGACAATATTCAATGGAAAATTGTTGAAGAAATTGTGGCGAAATAATGAAACAAATTGTGGCAAAATTCTTAATCAATTCTTGAAAAATGAAGTCACGTTGATAATCAATTTTCTGTTTCAAGATTAAGCAATTTGAGAACGTCATGGAAGAAGGGTAAGTAATTGACTTTTTTTAGGATATGATAAGATGACAGAGAATATACTCAATTATCTTTTAATAATCATTCGTTTAAGTCAATTTATTCTATATATATTTATTTATTTATTTATTTATTTATTTAAGAAATATAATATTGATTTATGACCTGATTTTTTACGTATTTTTTTTTTTTTAAATTCTACAAGGTTGATAGAATTGAAAATATTTTAAAGTATGGTTCTTATCTAACTACATATAAAAGAGGTGATTTTGTCACCTCTGGCTGTTTACTAACAAGGCATTATGCATATGACTCTTAAATCAAACTCAATTGATTAGTAAATTATAACATTATTACTTACACTACATCACCCACTACACGTGCAACGCGCGTGCCTTCACTAGTATTAGGCTATAAGTTTGAATTATTTGATAGGTGAGCAAAACTTTTAGATAACCGGGAGAACTTTTTGATGAGATCAGAGAAATGGGTAGAGTAAACTGAATTAGAAGTTATTGCACACCTCCCCCAATCTTTCTTCAAGGTGTATTAACGGTAGTAGCTTTTACTTGGACTGTAATTTCTAATGTAAAATAAGAATAGAATTGAATAAAGTCTAACCTTATCGTATCATGGGCATGAAATTCTCTCAGTTGACTCGATCCTCATTCGGTGAGGCCCGTCCGCGAGTAATAGTCATGACATAACTATTGGCTCTTCGATTCATGTAGACCGCCTTTACCATGTGTTCTTACTCTTCCTTATTATTATTTTTTTTTTCCTCACAAAGTTATTTTATATTTTTTTTAGAAAAAACCGATTCAACTTGGACCTAGATGGTTCAGATTGACGGCTCGTAGAGTCAATTTGATTGCAAAACTTAAAAGGTAGTTTTGTGTAGGCTTGGACCGCCTATTAAACCAGTTTCGATTACGCCAATTTACGGCTGAACCAAGCCCCCAATTTGGTCTGCGCGGTTGAACTAATTTGCCCATTTTGACTCCACCACTCATGATCAACACTCTCTATGTAGGGTTCAACCCTCAAAAGCTTCACGATCTAACAGTTCCATCCTTCGAGGTGGAAGAAATGGTTCTACAAACCACTATTAGACAACTTATTAGATTATTGACATTAGTGGCCTATCTCAAAATGGAATGGAGTCTTAGTATACTTGGAAATATCAAAATTTTCCATTTGAAGTCCTAATATGCCATCAAACATTGTCAAATGATGAGAATTGCACACTACAACATAACACATCATTCATAAGTCACACTTTAAAAAGGGAATCTCCATACATCCCTTTTTCTTTATGCATTCCTCGTATGACACAATAAATACAACAAACCTTCAAAACAGTTATTTCACATATCGAAGTGCATAAATATGTTAAATAATGCTACTTATACAATAAAGTTATATAATGATTTACATGCAGATGAGGTGTTAAAAATATAATGAGCTATTTCTTTTTCTTTTTTTATTGAAGAAATTCTAACCCAATCATATATCACCAAATCATGTGTATGTAAACCATTAAATCATTATGTGCATGTAGCACAATCGAACTAAGTATTAGCACAATCTCCCCTTCCATGTGGCTAAGATTTAGCAGAACTTGAACTTGAACTTGAAGGGTAACCAATACCATGGCGGGTGTTCTGAAACATCACGAATATCGAGCCAGAAACCGCCCCCATAACCGGTGGCAACGCCATGAGCAAAGCCTTCTGTGTAGACTCGGAAGATGGATGGAAACATTCCACTGTATTACGGTCTAACAAAGCCACAACAGAAAAAGCAATAAGAGAAAAGAAAGCATGAACAAAGTCCCCAAATCTAAGCCTATAAGATGACAAGTCCTGAGAGGATGAATTAGGCCAAAGGCCCTTATTTGTTGCAATGCCATAATGACTGATTCCTGTAGTATCTTCATAGCTATCAGTAAATGAGGCAAAACAACATGAAAACGCAGAGACGATGACAAGAATCCCCGATAAATACTTATTTATGGTGTGGCATTGGCCATTGTTGGTTAAGACAGGATTGAGGAATTGAAACATGAAAACTGTGCCTGTTGGGAGGAGTCTAATGAGGTTGCCAATGCCTGTCAATGTTTTCTGTGACATGGTTTGGTTTGAATTAGACATTTTCTTTCTTTCTTTCTTTCTTTTTTGTGTTTGTGCAGTGGATTAATGCAAGAAGTTTATGGGATTTATAGGGGGTGGAGGAGAGGAGGTTGCTTCTACGTTAAAATGGGATGATATAGACAAGCAGGAAGTTTTATTTATATGCTTTTACTCTCAGGATGGTGGCTTTCCGACCTTAAGGATTGAAAATGTTGTTAAGTTGTGAGGTTAATTTCATGAGTAATGCTATTTAGCCCAATGAGATTATAACCTTATTCTATGTAGCGCTAATTTGACATTAAATGATAAGTAAAATGAAATATTCATTTAATCTACCATTTAATGTCACATTAACGCCATATAGACTGTTGCTATAACTCCAGTTAGGTTAAATAATATTATTCTAATTTCATTCCAAATTTAGAAACGTTTACATTAAGACAATGATGATTTTCTTGATAATTGAAAGCTATGGATTCTTATCCAATGTGATTATGTTTGTTAATTCATATCAATACATTTATAAAGCAATTAATTTGGATAGAAATCGTTTAGAGGTCATTTGAGTGCACTTCTATTAAAAATATTTGGTCTCTAAGAGTTGAGATCCGATGGTTTGGAACATTTGCTATATAAATTTCCCAATGAATAATTAAACAATCATGATACACATCCAAATTTAAATCCAAATGGACACTTATCTAAACATGATTGAATAGTTTGAAAAATTAAAACAAAAACGCCCAATAATTTTCTAATACATCAGTCCGTCTCTTCCCTCCTTGTTTTTAAGTCTAATTAAGTGGCTTTATTCATAATTAAAAGTCACATTGATTACTATGCCTTGCTCTTACATTTTATTGTTTCTACAGGCTCCAAGTTCTTCAAAATTTTCGATGTCTGCATATTTCATCACTTTAGTCTCTCAAGTTCAAACCCCTACTCATTAGTTCCAAAATTTATCAAAATCTTGGGGGAAAAAAATATCGAAAGGACAATATGAATTTTCGTAATTGATCCACACTATACATAACTAAGCCACATTTTTTAGAAATTCATTTTTTTCTCAAACTCATTTTCAACCACTTATTTTTATAAAATAATTTTACACGTAAATTCAAAAGTCTAACAACACATTCTCAAAAAATCTCTATTACGAAATATATTCTCCCAAAAAGTCAGACTCAAACAAACCCTAAATTAATGGCATCTTTCTCCAATAAGATTACATTGTTGACGATTGAGAATAGTTCTATAAACCAGTCTATCGACATATGCATCTAAACGAGTGTGACACAAATAAAAAGTAAAAATCGTTGATAGGTTCCATCCCAACTAAATACAAATTAAAACTTTGGAAAATGTAATGGAAGAATTTTTATTTGAAGGATGAAACTGAGAGTTTTTATGAGCTTTAAGGATTCTAAAGAGAAATTATCCCTAACTCATATGTTAAACAATTAGGTTTTCAACGGTAGATATATATAGACGGATAGCTTTAGAATTGAACAGAATAACAAATATTGATTCAGGTAGCAAACTTAAATTTAATATAACAAATATCTTCCTTGTTCAACGCTCTTGGAAGTTATTAAATAATTATGTTTCTTGTTAAACTCTCATAGAAGTAGAGGTTGTGACAAATTCAACTCCATAACAAAAAAATGGATCATGTAGTTAACACAATATTAATTTAGTGACTAAAGTGCTCGGCATTCGTTGAATTATGCAATTGTAGATGTGGCGACGAAGTGAATTGCACATGCCAAATATATTGAGTGAGTATCATTCTCAAACGATGACCATGAGCAACATAACAACTATATACAATTTCATCCATAGCGTCGAAAGAACATGAACAGTAATGATTAACACTAAACCTAATTTAATATTACCAAACTCATTTCACAAGTAATCTGTTCAACTTAACCGCACGACATATAATTATCCAAATTTCTGTTTATTCAAGAAATTAATTATTGTTTTCAGGGTCAAATGTTATGACCTCAAACCATTACATAGAGTAGCGTCTACGTGCAGGTTTTTCTTCCATTGCACATAGATTGAGTCAGCAAAAAGATGATAATTCTTTTAAAAGAAACTCATGACACTTATATTACACTAATATTTCATCTTAACAGTAATTATATATGGAAAATCCTACTTGCACATAATGATATTCATAATGTGATGCGACAATCATCTGATTATTAATGTGTAAGTGTGAGATTTGGTCGCCAACGCCTTGGAACCTTTAGGG